GCATTCAATTTGAAATTATGCACATTCAGATTCAATCTGATAGATTCAAATTCAATTCCTGCTGGCACAAGATTTATCCCAGAGAAATGATCGGAACAACTCAAAAGGAGATTGAAGATAAAAGAGGAAAGGTCATGTCACCAGTTTGATAGAATTTATCAGCCTTTTTTCTCCTGATCTTTATTTCAAAAAGGCAAAACAAAAAACTAAATAATTATTGAAATTGACTGATATGAAATGCTTACATCCTGATATATTTCAGCCATATCATCCAGCCCTAGTTTGAACTGTTGTTTCCAGATGATATGTTTTATTCATCAGAACAGCAAACTCAGAATAAAATCAAACATTAACTTGGAAAATGTACAAACTTTAAATTTAAAGTACTATGCCAAAACCTTTCTAAATAAAACTGGAACAAGAAATTATCTTTTTGCAACTAAAGTGACAGTTCACATTTTTTTGAGGTGGGGGTTCTATGGGAAAGTCATGAACAAATAATATCGGACCTGTTATAGATAGCTCTTTCAGACTGACCAATTATCTACAACAGCAGGTAAGCTAATATTTGTAACCCTTCCACAAAACCCTACTTCAAAAGATCTGAACTAGAACTTTATGTACAGATAGAACAAAGTGACACTAAAAGGAAATTTGAAAATTACGAAGCGTCTTTGAACTATTTTGGTTCACGTCGGCTCCCTCCGAGCTGAAGCTGCTGCTGTGAGGGGAGTAACCGGGTCGACCCAGGGAACAGGCAAAAAAATCCAGAGCTTCAACAAAGGGTTTTTATTAAAACAAAAAGAAGTGACGAGGCAGCTCAAAAAGCACTCGAGAATAGAAAACCACAAGGAACAGGAACACAGGATGACTCCACACTGGCTGAGGGGAAACAGCACAATGATCTGACAAACACTGAGGACAGGACACAGAGTATAAAGACAAACTAATGAGAGACAATTAGAAACACCTGGAGGAGACACAAGAGGAAACAGGTGAGCGTGGGCRGGGCTGGAGGAATGACAGACAGCTGGGCAGAGGTATGCAACACAGAAACACTAGAAAAACCAGGGAAGAATCACTCCATCGCTTTATTTTGCAGYGTTAATTAGTGGTGTGCAGATCGATACTGAAATATCGATGCTACCGATACCAGAACTTTATGCTCTAGAATCGATACTAAAATAAAATATCGATACTTTGATACTTCAGTTATTTCACATAATGTATATCATTAACAGGAAAATAACTAAACTATTCAAACTTGTCTAAATCATATGGTTGGAGGGAACTACTTTTTCTTCCCCTTGGGTAATGCATCAGCACATTGGCCTGTGCTCAGTCAGTCGCTCAGTCTGTAGAAGTATGGCAGGTCATTTTAACATAAAATCTGTTTCCTCCGACTGTAATTACATTCTAGATGAGGGGTTCACAAACAGCATTAGTTCTGGCCAGGGACCTTCTTTAACCCACAAACCATGCTACAAAATATACAAAGTAACAACT